AACCTATAAACCTCCTGTAATCTATAAACAGTTGAACGTAACGAAGTGAAACGAAGTGGAGTTCAACACACCTGTAACCTATGAACCTACTGTAACCTATAAACAGTTGAACGTAACGAAGTGCAACGAAGTGAAGTTCAACACACCTGTAACCTATAAACCTACTGTAATCTATAAACAGTTGAACGTAACGAAGTGCAACGAAGTGAAGTTCAACACACCTGTAACCTATAAACCTCCTGTGATCTATAAACAGTTGAACGTAACGAAGTGCAACGAAGTGAAGTTCAACACACCTGTAACCTATAAACCCCCTATAATCTTTATTTCTCTATTTCATTAGAATAAGACTAAAAAGTAGAAAATAAAATACTTTATAAAAAAAAACTTTTTAAAAAAACTACGTTTTTCGCGTAGACTAAAAAGTAGAAAATAACTTTTATTCTTGGTTGTAAAGAATTTGGTTTTAAATTTTCAGATTATATTTAATAAATTTTTATATCCTAGTCAATATTGTTCACAAAGTTTCGAATAAGTGCACTTTGATCTTATCGTATAACTCAACAACTTAAAAACGTGGGCGCATTAATTTAAGTTTATCATAAAGTATTGATTTCACATAAACTTATTTCTCCTCTTATAATGCGCCCACGTTTTCAAGTTGTTGAGTTATACGATAAGATCAAAGTGCACTTATTCGAAACTTTGTGAACAATATTGACTAGGATATAAAAATTTATTAAATATAATCTGAAAATTTAAAACCAAATTCTTTACAACCAAGAATAAAAGTTATTTTCTACTTTTTAGTCTACGCGAAAAACGTAGTTTTTTTAAAAAGTTTTTTTTTATAAAGTATTTTTTTATTCAAAACTTCTTAAACTAAAAGCTGCCTCACAATAAAAAGTTCTGTAAGTTCACAATTTCCACAGTCCAGTCTTCCAATCTAAAAGTTTTCAAGAAATTTTTAAAAATGAAAAGATTAAAAAAAGCCTTAGTAAATCAATAGCTAATTCCAGACTTATGCTTACTCTACATAAAATAAATAAATGTATCAATTGATTATTATCGAGCTGCATACAAATTTTAAAAATATGAAACATGAAAAATCTATAAAAATAGTTCAGTATACACTGTAAAGTGAAAATTAATCGTTTAAAGAAAATACACAAAGATTTTTTTTTGTTGATATTAATGAAGCCATGCTAAAAGCATGACCTTTCTATTATTTTCAATCATTTTAATTTTATTAAAATTTCATCACTATATTTTTGAGCAATAGAAAATGATTTGATGTTCCTCGTCTATCCATTTATTTGGTCTATTCTATGGAATCTATTGATTTACCATTTGTTGGCATATGATGGGTATGAGTAAGCTGATGGATAAGCAGCAGCATAATCATATGATTTTGGTGAGTATACTGGAGCTGAGTAAGCAAGTGGAGAAGCAGCATATGAGTATGCTTTGACTGGTTCAGCAACATATGACTTTGCATAGTATGTTGGTTCAGCAACAACTGATTTGGCATAGTATGCTGGTTCAGAGACGTATGACTTGCCGTAGTATGTTGGTTCTGAAACATATGACTTAGCGTAGGAGTATGCTGGCTCTGAGACGTATTGCTTGGCATAGTAAGGTTCAGAAATGTATTGCTTGGCAACTGGAACAACAGCTGGAACATGTTCTACGACTTTCTTGACAATTGGAGTTGAGATGACTTGCTTTTCGACTCCATGAGCGTAGATTGGTTCAGCGTATGTTTTGCTGTGATATTGAGTTTGTGATTGGTATGAGGTTGCTGATGGGAAACTTTTGACAACTGATCCTACATGGCTGACTGTTGGGGTTTCAACAACTGAAACATGTGGTTCAACAATGGTCTTTTCGTAGGCAACTGAAGCTGGAACATATCCTGCGAAGGCGACGGAAACTAAACATGACAACACCACGAATTTGAACATTTTGAATTTTTTTTGTTTTGTTTAAAATCTTTGTTGGATATAACAAACTGAATTCTACTGACTGAATGATACAATTTGTGGTAAAATAATTCGTATATATACTCATGATCAAGGTGGTAAGATCAGAGTAGGATACTTTATTATTATGAACATTTTGTATGGTGAAAATTTTTGCTCATGCGAGTTTCATAAAAATGCATAAAATTTTTATTACTACAGTCGAAACATGACCTCACTATTTGTTTTTCTTCTTCTTTTTAATCCAATAAAGCTGCGTTGCCTAGCCAATTATTTTTCAAAAAGAAATTTGGTTATGACTGTGCAAAACAGAAGAAGACACGAGAGAGTAAACACGACTTTTTTGCCAGACATGAAAAATTTCCACATTTCATTTACAATCGTCGTAACGTCACAACATGTGCTCAGATTCACAGTTTATTTATTTTATCAGGCGATATTCAGTTAGACATTGAACTTTTTATTCGATAAATTACAGCTTGTGATATGAACCAGAACGGTCCTGATTTTTCATTTAGCCACACTTCACTAAAACTCAATATCTAATCTCCAAATCCAAGTTAAGGTTTTATCATAAAGTTTCATAGAATTACAAGAAAGGTGAGAATATCCAGCTGATATCAAAATTGTTTCAAGTTTGTTATCGTGTGAATAACGTGTGATAGGATATCTTGAAGGTAGAAGTCGAAAAAGAAAGCTTAAAACTTTGAGATTAAATGTGTTTCATTTTTTTTTATTGATTAATTTTTTTTTTTGGCATTTTCAAGTGCAGCTGTACCACAGTGAATTGTATAAATTGATATAATTTTTTTTTTAATTAAGCTCATCCGTTACGAAATCTTTTTCGCATATTTCTTTTCAAATTATCGCTCATTAGTTGTTGCTGTTTTACAACTCTGAAATTGAGTATATTCAACATCCTTGTACTATGTCGCAATCGAAATATGACGTATGAATCACTGATATTTCCTTGTTACATTGCGCTATATTTTTTATTCAGGTGATTGATTGATTTCCGGAAATTTGAATTTTTGTAATTCTATGCCGCGTACAACATTAGCAGATGGATTTGCTGACAGTTTTTAAAGCTTTTTTTGATGAATTATTGTTACCAATTTATGTATGGTTTTACTTACAGGTTCTTAACTATTTGCTTATGTTATGCTTCTTGGATCCCTATCGCAAATTTATCATTTAAAAAAATATTGATTTTGTTTAAACTGCCAAAATGTTCAGAAATCAAGTTAAATGTGAATGAACTATGGAATCTATTATTTATGATATCAAGCTTCAAGTAATAAAAGATTTTGATAGAAGAAAAACATTTTTGATTTTTAATGATAAATTAAAAATGTTTAAGATTTTAGGCTTAAACTTAGAAACAATTTTCTCCTACTTTTTATTTTACACTAAGCTATGCAATATATTTCCATTAGATTCAGAATATCTTGGCCATTTTTAAAAGATTTGTTTTTAAACTTTTGTAAATGTCAAACTTTATGTCAATTGCAATTTAAATATAGAATCGAGCGAAAATATTTTTAAAAGTGTCGATAAGCTTGTTAATTCCTTTTTATTGTACAAGTATTAAACTTTAATAAATTAAGCGTGTAAGAATTGTGTCGAATTTTTTAAAAATTGATAAGATAAGCATATTGAACTCTTGCAGTGTCAAGTTCAATGGAATGTTTAGTAAATATTTTCGCTTGGAAGTGGAACACCTACAAATGTCCCCATAATGGCAAAAGTTCACTTTTTGGCTTTTTCTTCACTCCAATCCAACTATTGTTTCCTATCCATTTTCCATTATGCTTTTTTGTTGAAAAGCTAAATGATGCGTCATTTTGATGCACTATATGCCCAAATGGCACTCTTCCCATTTTGATTACCTTGAGATATTGTAGCTGAGACACGAATGATGCAAATTCTTTTCGTTGATATTCTTGTTTTACTTGTAAATTTCCCATTGCTCCAGTTTCGAGGAATATACTCCATGCAATGAGTTCTCCATCGTCCTTATATATTCCTGTACTGGGATTCATTCTAATAGCAGTTTTCAAAAACTCTACAGACCCAATATGCCTTTGCGCCCATACTGAATTCATGACTTCAGCATCTTTTTCGGTTAGTGAGGCTGAATAAAATCCTTTCGGCATACTTGAACTGTTGGAAGATTTAAATAGTGAGAGTTATTTAAAATGTCCTGAAAACCAGCTTACTTACAAAACATCTTCCTTTACATTTTTAATCATTTCAGGCGCAATTTCCACTATCATAAGTAAACATCTTGTTCCCAAATCAAAAGTTCGTTCTAAATGATGTACTCTTATCAAATCGTCAAGAAACGGTCGAAATACGTCACGAACGCCAATAAACACTTTTTCCTGTGAATAATCCAACTTATTCATTAATCTTTGTAATGTGTCATAAGGCGGTTCCTCAAGAGTGTCAAAATAAATATGTTGTCCATTGATAAACACAAAAGTTCCATCATTTATTTCAGATTCATCAAGTTTAAGAAATTGGACCTTTTCTTTCCATTCAGGAAATTTTTGAAATCGATCGATAAAATGATCCAAGAGACCGCATGTCACCAAAAATTTGGGCCATTTTAACTGATAAAGACGACGATAAATTGGCAAGTCACTCACTAATATTTTCGTTAGCATTCTTCAATGCCTTAATCACAACTAATGAAATAATTTTGTCTAAAATAAATGGTGTGATGGGGTATCAAAAGTATAGAGATAAGATTACAAGTGTATTAAAAACATTAAAAAAAAATATTGAGTAACATTTCGTAGATTTATTTGCTCTCAAAAAATATTCATTCACATTTTTCGTTCAAACTATATTTGGTAAAGGAAGTAACAATACATAAAGAATGTAATTACGTGCGTAAAATTAATTGAAATGACGTCAAAGTGTCAATTTCTTTTTGAATGTCTGAATCTCAAAATAATTTCATTAATATCTTTTCACTTTTCTTAAAAATAAAGTGCAAAAAAATAGTTGTGCCTTAATTAGTAGTAATAAATTTAATAATAATAATTAATCACTCAGCAGAATGTAAAGAAAGCTTTGGTAATTTATTGTTTTGCTTTGAATTTGTAGTTAACTAGATTGATGCTTATTGTGCTTTGCCATAGCGTGAACTATTTTCAACCTTTGATAAATGCAGCATGTTCTTTAACATGATGTAAACTAGATTTTTGGAACAAGAAGAGACATTTTTAAAATTAGGTTAATTTATATTTGAAAATTTTGCAATTTTGTAATTGGGTTGTTCACAAAATACTTACAAATACTAATAGTGGCAATGCCAATAACCACTAGCATCTGAATTCGATCAGCCTCTATCATTTTGTATGCTTGATATAAAATAAAAAGTGTTTCTAGTAAAACCCAGCAAAAAGTATTGACTAGCAAGCAGGTTCGTGGCTTTTCATTAAAACCATCATCAACTTTTAGTCCTCTGCCTTCATAGAAGTTACCATGTTTATCGAAACTATCCTGGAGTTCATCTTTTTCTTTGAAAATATCATACAGAAATTCAAATGTTGGTTCAACATTTTCCATTGGAATGCGATTGATATACACGTGGGCAGTTATTTTCTTTCCTAATACTAAGCTTGATAAAAATGGTGGATTTTCAGCTCTTTTATCAAATGATACTTGAACGTTATAAACAGCTGGACAATTGTATTTTCTTAAAATTGGTATGCATGTTGAAAAGCCTTTGGATCGGGGAATTAAGTGATGTTTTAATGGCACAATATTTTTTTCCTCTGCAAATTTCAAGCACTGCTGATATTTTTCTTTAGTAAATCTAGTTCCTTCAGCCATTAAAACTATCCATGTATTGTCAGTGCATGTCATATATTCAGATATTTTATCTTCAATTAGTTCCTTATCCTTTTCGAATGATCTCCTTAAGAAAATATGTCCAGCAAGTCCAAAGAACCATCCCCAAATTGGAATGAATTTAATTGTATTTTTTACAAATCCTCGTGCATAACCTAAGCCTCTAAATCTATTGATTAAAATCCAAGCTATCAGCCAATCAATCTCGTAAATGTGATTAAAAATTGCTAAATTGTTCTCATGTCCAAAGAACTCGTAGTCTTCTTTTTTACAATGCACAACTAGTTCTGAATCTGACCAGTATTCGTATATAAATACGCATTCTATTAATGTAAAAAAAACATACAGAGAGAAAGAGAGTGGTCAAAAGGTGTTCAAAATTGAGAGCAGCATAGAATGAGAGAGAAAGCAATAAAAACTAAAGAAAATCTCGTCATCGATGCGCAAAAATATTTTTTTTAAATAAAACAAATTTTTTATGCTTCATATTTGAGGATTATTATGGAATTCCATTGTGTAAAAAAGTCTTATCAGTGCTTAAAAATACTTATCGGCTAAACTTTGAACACTTACGAGCAAGCCAAGTCCATATAACATAATACATCAGCCGATTGAATATTTTCTTGCTGAATGGTCTCACAAAAATGTGCAAAAGTAATTGAACGACATTTAGAATTGCACCAGATGATAATATAGTGGCGGTGACAAGTAATTGAGACACTATATTCTGTTTAATTCTGTCACTGAACATTTTTTAGCACCTATTATTCGATCTACACTTTATCACTATGAACGCTAAAGCCTAAATGAATTTTTTGGACGTCTTTTTCACGTATTATTTTCTCTCTCACACACAAAGATAGCATAATAATAATCTCACTTTCTTTTCACTTCTCAAATTGTTCATATGAATGAATTCTCTCTCATATTGTTCCTTTCCTTCATTCAATAGCACGTGTTGGGAATCAAGTTTTTGTATATTTGACGTAAAATGAGAGCGAAATTTCTGACTCTCTTTCTCTTATATTTACTTATTGCTGCTTTTTCAACCGGTCTATTTACTAATGATTTGTTTATAAACACAGATGATTTCTGATGTTCGATAAAAAATTAATTTGCAATGGATGTGTGGTAATTTGCAGGAGCTATCAGATAATAATATTCCAATTAATTTGAATCTATTAATTTAATTATTTATTGACAATAATTGATTATTTATTTTGACACCTCAATTTATCATGCTATTTAAATTAGAGGCAAGAAATGTCAAAACTTTAAAGATTTTTTGATTAAATTGATTAAAATTTTAAATTTGACAAGGAATGCACGGCGCTTTGAAACTGCAATTTAAGTAGGATCTACAGCTTGCTTGAGCGAGTCTATTAATATAATAAAGTAATAATAACATGTGAAGGGCCCAGCTTTTCAGCTAAATGCACTGTGATTCAAATTGGAACAGAATCTATTGTACCACATCCCTATTAACACACCAGAGAAATTTTACAGAAGATTTTTTTGTGTCCACACACTCTTAATTTTACTCTTTTATTTTAAAGAATTTTTATTTGCATTGCCGTTAAAGCTCATCATATGATTAAATAGAATTTACAAAAAAACTGTCTTTTGTCTGATGACATGTGGTATTTAATCCAGTTAAAGCCTAATATATAGAAAACATATGAGGAACACAACTGAATAAACAGAATCTCTCAATTAATTGACTCGCAGACAACAATAAAAAGAACGAGAATTGTCATAATCTATTATTGTATGCTCTTGTTCACTTATCTCATACATTTCTATTATCAGTGTGCAAACCAAAAAAAAAGATAAAGATTACGCAGCAATAAAGTTTATTGTAGGAATCAACAATTTTAGTTTAAAACTGTACTCGACTAGAACGATTACTTTTTATTCAAAAGTCGTGACCAGAATATTTATTAATACTTAAATCAAATTTATTAATAACGTCTTCACGGTATTGAAATAAAAATCAATTAATTTTATTGCTGTTTCCTGTGAGCAACTATCAACGCATTAAGAGTAATAAAAATGGCTGACTGGGAGAATAATGAAGAAATTCAAATATTTCGCGAATATTTGAGAATCCCGAGCGTCCATCCAAACATTGATTACGGTGATTTTATATAATATATTCATTCAAATTTATCATATTAATTAAACATTATTTTCAACCTATTTAGAGCCCTGTGTAGAATTTTTAAAACGACAAGCTGATAGTTTGGGACTTTCATTAAAAATCGTTTATCCAGCAATAAAGACGATTCCTTTATGCATAATTACTTATATAGGTTTAGAACCTGAATTACCTGCAATAATGCTTAATTCTCATATGGATGTCGTTCCAGTCTCTCGAGATAATTGGACACACGATCCATTTGCTGCTGAAATTGATGAGAATGGAAAGATTTTTGCACGTGGAACTCAAGACACAAAGGAGTTGGGAACACAATATTTGGGAGCATTAAGATATTTCATTCGTAACAAAATTCAATTCAAGAGAACAATTCATGTTGTTTTTACTCCGGAAGAGGAAGTATGCGGCGTACATGGAATGAGAGAATTTGTACATACAGACGAGTTCAAAAACCTGAATGTTGGATTTTTGTTAGATGAAGGAGCTCCAATGCCAACAAATGATGAGTTTATGATTTTTTATGGCGAAAGATCAACATGGCGTGTTGAATTCACGATTACTGGAAGTCCAGGGCATGGATCGATCATGCTTCATAATAATGCTGCTGTGAAGCTTCAAAAATTACTCACAAGATTCATAGAATATCGTGATTCACAACTTAGTCGTATCGATAATCCATTAGAAATTAAAACCGCCGGAACTGTTTCATCAGTAAACATAACAAAGATTAATGGTGGTCTGCTGTCAAATGTTATTCCATCAGAGTATATAATGACTGTTGACATTCGAGTCGCCTTAGACGTTGATCATGAAGAATTTATAAAAACTTTTGAAGGATGGTGTAATGAAGCAGGAGATGGTATCTCTTACAAGTTTGAAGTTCGAGAAGATAAAACACCGGCAACACCTATTGATGACTCAAACAAGTACTGGATGACATTTAAGAAGACTATTCATGATCTGTAAGTTGATCATTTATTTCTTGGTCATTTTTCATTCAGTCAAATTATTTAAATTACATAGTATTCTCATGAAGACATTGACTTTATTCCATTGTTGACCGATTTTTTTTTCTATTCATAAATCACATCTGTACCTGTAATTTCCTCTAGTGATATAAAGCTTGTTGCAATCATATGCCCAGCAGCAACTGATGCACGATTTATTAGGAGTGTCGGTATACCTGCAATAGGATTCTCTCCAATAAATAATACACCAATATTGGCACATGCTCATGATGAATATATCGAGGCTGATATGTATTTAAAAGGCATTGAAATATTAAAGAAAGTAATAAGCAATCTTGCAAATTTGGACTGAGCAATTTAGTCATTTTTTCTAATGAGTTTTATGGACTGTAATGAGTCTTAAGTGCACCCTTGTTAATGGGTTTGTTGAATGATATGTACTTGAAAATAAAAATGCTTAATAATTAGACAAGTTTTGATAATTTTTTGAAGTGCTTTAATCAATTTTGATAGCTTAACTAGCTAGCTTACATTTCCAAGATGATACTCCATATTTAATTTGATAAGATGTTGATGTTTGGATGATTTGTTTGAGACAGATTTTAAGAATTAAACTGATAATTCATGAATTATCTTTTTAAAAAAAATCCCAAAGGGGATTCCTCTTTATCAATTCATTCTTTTTAAACGATTAACTGGCTGACCATCAATTCTCATTGATAATGTGGCACGTTCAATTTTTTCTATCAATATAAAAAGATTAGTTTTTTGCAAAGGAATTTCAGTTTGATTTTTTATTTCAATAAAACATCAATCGATTGCAATAATGAATGCAATAGTTACAATTTTGGTTTTGAACTTATTGATTTGGACTGTAAAAAACGAAAGAATTATGAAAACCATCTCTTGCGGTAATTGAGTAAAATAATATCAAGAGACAAAAATAAAAGAATGCTTTTTATAGATATGTACAAGCCATCATTCACAAAAGTTGTATCGAGTAAGAACGCCCTTAATTTATTAATCAAAATTTAATTTATGAATTGCAATGATTACAGATTCATTTTGTGAGATAAATCAAATTACGGTAGATGGTTGTGATCCAAACAAAACTTGGTGCTATATACCCAGAGGAACTAATGCAACAATTAAAGTTGAATTTGTCCCTCATTTTTGTTCAAGGCATGTTAGCATGGATATGCATGTTCAACTTGGTTCAAATAAATTCAATATTAGCAAACATATTGACAATGAAGCTTGTAAATTTATGACTTGCCCTGTGGAATCTTTTATAAAAAATGAATACAAATATACTGATACGATTTCACGTAATCTACCAAAAGTAAGTTTATAAATCATTTTTATTCAATATATTTAACAATTTATTATTGAAAATAATTTTAATGGATCTTTTTCAAGGGAGTTGAACCAAATAATTACATTTTGATCATTTTTGATCATTTTTGATAATTTTTGATCATTTTTTTGATCATTTTTGATCATTTCATCAGTACCACACCCTTGATCTTTTTCTTATGAATTCTGTCATTAAAGGGAAATTTTAAAATCCTATTTTTAATGGATGTCATAAGGGGCTGTTCACTTATTACGTAACGCAAAAAAATGACTTTTTAGACCCCCCCCCTCGTAACAAAATTTGTATGAAAAAAAAATTTCCTTGTTTGAACCGTAACAAAATCTTAGACCCCCCTCCCCCCCTAAAAGCGTTACGTAATAAGTGAATGGCCCCTAAGTGAACAACCTTTAAAGAAAATATTTTGAAGTATAAAACATAGTTTCACTAAATTTTAAATTTAAAAAAATTTTAAGAGTTAAACAGATAAACCGAACATATTTTTAAAACTATTTTGTATTTACTTTCAAGGGAATGTATCTAGCACTATTCGTCATGCGAGAGGACATCAATCCTAAATGTTGTTTTGGAATAAAAGTTGGGATTAATTAAAGAGCTTGAAATGAAATTTAAATCATAGTTTATAGTTGATTTTAACAGAAAACTTTTTTTTAAATATTCAGCATTTTATTTACTACTAAAAGCCAAAAATAACTTATCGCTTAAAATAATAAATAAAAAGCTTTGTTTAATTTTTCGTTTGTATCCCAAAATTTTACTCAAATTTATTGCGATTTTACATTATTGGGAGCCCCCTAGATTATAACTGAAAATTATCATGTCTTCGAATAATCTATATTGCTTTAAATTCTAAGAAAATTTATAGTGATAACACACAGTTTACTCTGCTTTTGAAAAGAACACAGAGATCAAATATATCATCATAAATCATTATTTATATAATCGATTTCAGGGGTTTACAAATTTTAATACATTTTCAGATATTTTATTTTTAAAATCAAGCAGATCAATGCAATATTTTTTTAAACAATAAATATTCAATCAGGGTTGTTATTGAAATTGCCAGAACTTCTTGACATGATATTTAGAAACTCTTTTTAAACCGCTGTGCTATTCAGCAGCTATAGTACTATTTGGAATTTTATATTTCATCTTCTTCTTAAAAATTTTTTTTTAATTTTTAACTTTTAAAATTTTTTCTGCAATAAATTCATTGCAATCCACATTAACGTTAACATTGAATAAAGGATTATTATTTTGAACCTCTGATTCACAAGTATTTAAGTTTGTTTTTCAAACATTCTCTCGTTTTAAAAAGTTGCAAGTTGGTTTGATAAGGCATTTGATTTGACTTAGTATATTAAGATGATTTTCATTAAAGTATGTTCAGTTTAATTTCATATTTTGCTACGAATGTTACAAAAGTACGACTCCCTACGACCATGAATTTTAAAGTTATAATTTTGGTTTTGACAACTTGTGTAGCTTTTGTAGTAGCCGATTCAATTATTCCAGTGAATTCTTGTGGTAGCTAAATCATTTTAGTTTATTTGAAGACTTTTCGATTTGTGTAAATTTTCATATTTTCAGATAACTTACAAGATAGTTTAGGAACAGAAAGTAAGATTTAATTTTATTTTTATTTTAAATAAATTATCATTTGTTTTTTAAACAGACTCTCTCTGTGAGATAAATCAAGTTACAATAGATTCCTGTAAAATGGAATATAAAAAATGTATATTATATAGAAAAGAAAACTATACAATTAATGTTGATTTTGTGCCTAAATTTTCATCCGATCATATTAAAATGGATTTGTTTTTTGACTTTGGAAATTTTAATATGTTGAGAAATATAAGTTATAGCATTGATACTGAAGCTTGTAATTTCATGACCTGTCCTATTGTTAATGGTATTAAAAATACATACAGATATAGAGGCCATATCCCAAATATAATCCCAAAAGTAAGTTGATAATTTTCTATTAAAAAAAGTAAAAAAAAAATCTTTTGATTTAAGATTTATGCTAATTTTCTTTCATTTTAGGCTATGTATCGATTTTATTTTATGATGTCGGAAGGGTCGATACCAAAGTGCTGTTTTGAGATGAAAATTAAAATTATGTAGCATTGATGACATGACTGATCCTGTTTCTACAAAAATTACTTTTTCATAAATTTAAAATTACCGCTGTAAAAATCAAATCTTAAATGTTCTCCGAATCCTTGATAAATCTCTAACCTATTCAATTTAGAAATCTAGTACAAGTCGCTTCTAATGAGTGCTTAGCTTCATAATATCAAGCTGAGTATTCGTGTCCTAATACTGCTATAATTTTTCCAAAAAGTAATTTTCATATTAAATGTCAGATGCGGCTTATCGTTTACAATATTTTTGATCAGTCGATCTATTTCTAGATTGATTAAGTCAGAGATTTTTTAAGGATTTAAGGTTATGTATTAGGATTTGGGTTTGACACCACTATTTTTGGGAAAAATTAAAAAAGTTGTTAAACAAAAAAATGATAGTTATGCATCTTAAGCTTTTACTACGAAATATTATATCGTTCAGTTCTGAATTTAAACTTACCAGAACAAAACCAATTTTATATTTTTTTTAATGTAGCAAACAAAGAAATAATGCAAAAGAATCAGGAGCATTGCTTATTGTATAATAATTATACCTTTATCACTCCTACCCAATTATTTCTATAAAGTGCATTTGAATAATGCTTATGCTATTCATTAACATTTTAGAGCGTGTGCTAAGCTCTTTAAAAACAAAAGTGAATGTGCAAAGGCTTATTTTTTTCCATAGAAAAATAATGTTAGCGGATGACCTTTTGATATTTTATTTCGATAATTGTTATTCTTACTGAAATAAATTAAAATCAATTGAATATTAAATGAAAAAAAAATAGACAAAAATATTTACTTTGTTATGAAACTTTTCTTTTTTTTTTATTCATGTAACAGTTGAAATTGTAGGTTGTTGTTTTTTTTTCTTGTAAAAATCACATGTCTTTAATACTTTTCATATTCAAGATAATTGCTGGATGTCATGTCTTGTAATTTTTTTTTTTGGACATACGTTTTTATAAGTTTTTAAGGGAATAACAGACAAAAATAGTGCTCAGAGTATTATTTTAAATTAAGATGGAAGAATGGATGATAGTATAGCACAGAATGAATAGCGGCGGAGCACAAAAACAGTTTAATTATTTACAACAAAGATTTGATTTGGCAGTGATGGCATTTGTAATCAACAGTCAGTAAATAATTTAGTGCAAGTAAGCGGCACCATAAGCTGGGTATGCAGCCTTAACGATTGGGGCGGCAAGAGGTGCATGGTAAGCAGCTCCGTATGGTGATGCGTATGCAGCACTGTATGGGTATGCTGGGGCAATAGTCTTGACGACTGGTGCGGCATGGTAAGCTGGGTATGAAGCGGCAACCTTGTATGTGTTTGCGTAGCTTGTGGCTAATGGAGCAGCATAGGCAGCTTTAACGATTGGGGCGGCAAGAGGTGCATGATAAGCAGCTCCGTATGGTGATGCGTATGGTGCAGCGTATGCAGCACCGTATGGGTATGCTGGGGCAATAGTTTTAGCTACAATTGGAGCGTGGTATGCAGCAGCGATTGGTGCATGATAGGCAGCTCCATAGGCAGCGGCATAAGGGGCAGCATAAGCAGCTCCGTATGGGGCAATTGGTGCAACAATAGCGCTGGCACAGGCAACGAGGGCTGAGAGAACGAACTGTAAATTGATAATTTTTCACAATTAGATTTTTTGGACACTATTAAATCACTCTCAAGTTATTGAGTCACTATCATGTTCCCATTTCACATAGAAACATATTTTGCAATGTCTATTCCAATATTTTTTTTTTCTATTTATATATTTAATTGAAAGTTTTTTTTTTCAATCATGTCACTTATAATGCGTATGCGATAAATATTCACGTAATTGCATATGAATACATTTCAAACTGCACTCAATTTAATATTTTCCTTTCGTCAATTTCACAGTCTATATTGAACACGACTTACCAATTTGAACATTTTGAATAAGATTTGTTTTAGTTTAAGTAGAACTTAAAGGTTTAATTGCACAAGCTAAACTGTTTTGATTTTTTGAAAAATATTGTTTATATATATAGTAATTGGAAAACTCGTGTGATTTATCAATACAGTATAGTAGAGTTTGTATTTAGAAGAAAAATCGCAAATATAGCTAATATCTAAAAAGAAGGGCTCCCCTCTCCTTTTACTCTATGTTGTCTATAAAGTTCGCGGAGCATTGAGTTCGTTTTTTGCGATCATACCCCATCAAATCAACTCCATTCCTTCTAAAAAAATAAACCTTAACGTTCTCTATCATATTGGCATATCGTGTATGTATTTTATTATTTTTTCAGCATTACACTTACCGCCTTACTAAGTTAAACATGGTAGTTTCTAAATAATATTTAAATAAATTCTCAATTTAGCATATAAACAAAGCACGACCTCGTGTAATTGAAATAATAATAACAATAATAAAATCACAAGTCTTGCATTCTCTTGCCTAGGATCAATAAAAAAAATCTTACAAAAAGAACAAGAATCATCTAATTCGGCATGAACATACAATTTATATTATGATCATTCATTGCTCGTCAGTTCAGGAGTCAAAAGCTTATAAAGAAAATACAATAAAAAAACTTTAATTTTCAATCGTTGCCATGCGAATTAAGAATTTTTCAATTATAAGTTTTGTGTACGGCTAATAATCATAATACGAATAAAAATTGTTTGTAAAGAATACCATCATCTCAAGTGAAGCATTTAAATCTCTTGAACTTGAAGGTAACATTTTGATCCACGTCTGTGACTGAAAATGTAATTTTCTGTGCTTCTTATTTTTGTAAGTACTATTAGGGGTTTGATATCGAGACAATATTAAATGACAGACATCAAACGGTGAAATTTGTGAATTTTAAAAATGATGGAAATGATTTTTTTTACAAAAATTAAAAATTGCATTAAACCTTTTCAAAGTTATGTGGATTTATTGATGAAAAAGGTGTAATTCTACAATATGCACTTTACATGACAATTTGATGTAAATAAGAATCATCAAGACAACTTTAATGTTTGGTTCGAACATCAAGCCATCTTTTCTTTTAGATTTTTTTGAAATAATCTAGTCATAAAGGAACGAGAGAGAATGTTATAAATCGGAAAGTGATTATTCCTTAAAATGGAATAATGTGAACATGCACCAATTAGTTTCTATACGCATAGATGATGAGTTTTTTGCAGAGAAAGAATAGAAGAAATAATGACAGTAAATCGTCAACAACTCCCAAAAATCTAAAGAAAAGTATTCAAATTTTTGTTTCATGCATGATCGTCCGTAAACTACACAAAAATTAATGTCGATATCGAAACCCTTAGCCAACTATTAATCTGCTTTGTGGAAATCTAGCGCAACGGAAGCGTTTTTTTCTCTTGAATGACCATGTCACTTAACATGAAGTTGTTGTTTCTTCAACATTTACATTAATCCACAACATGCATTAAATACTGAGAATTTTTCGTGGACATGCGTGGTAATTGTACAAAAGTTTTTGTTTTCAGGTAACAAGTTTAGAGTTCAATGGAAACAGAAACAAAAAATCGATCGATGGAAAAGTTCTCATGAAAAATGTCACAACTGTTATGCTCTTGACCCAACCTCCCTCCTATTTGATTTGACTATTATTTATATTAGCAATTAATCTTATTAAGTGATTAAGCAGTCGAGATAAATTTTTCATTTAAAAGAAAAACGTGATTATGTGGAGTAACAGATATGAATCAATGAAGCAATAAGCTTCAGTGCAGCCAGTAGCGAAATAGTCTAGAACACCTGTTGAGACGGATGTAAATATTTAATTACCATATAAATTGTTTATAACTGCCACTAATTGCTTAACAAGCTTGGTAATCATAGCAAGAGGCATTCAATTTAGAACAAAAATTCACATCAACAGCAAAGCCTTGCGTTGTAATTTTTTTTTTCGGGTAATTAATTAATTGACAGAACACTTCATTTTTCCCGTTCACATTGGCATCGGATATGGACAGATATAATTAACGATACTAAAGCAATTATTTTACAAAACTTTTTGATAAACGCATGACGGTGTTGCATTTTTATTGTGCGTTTGAACATGAACTTTAATTTTGAGATTTATTAAGCAAGGTCGCACGATCATCTAACGGCAATGCCGTGTTATATTTTTTCGGTAAGTGCCCGCGATATTATGAAACCATTGTTTACCTTAAAAAGACAATAAACTGGGTTTAACAAACTTAAAAATTTTTTTTTGTGTTTTGATCGTTCATTTTTTTAAGTTTATAGTTCACATTTCAACAATGGAATGAGATTAGAATTAACTGCAAACATCACGAACATGTACAGTGGCAAAAATTGTATTAAAGAAAATTCCACATGATCTTTAATGCTATTGCAGCGTTGTTCAAGCTTGTTATTTTGTCTACTTTTGATGGAGTAATTTGACAAATTTCTGAAAGGTGCTTTGAATTTTAACAATTGAATGTTATACTGAATATTGACTTTTAGGATTCAAATTGAGCTTGCATTGGTGATTTAGATATTTTAGTCTATTTGAGTACAATAGTCGAAATTTGAAATGCTACCAGATTGGGATTTGTTAATTCCACGCAGTTAACAGAAGCGATCAATCCAAGCATATATAGCATAATCAGACATAATCAAGTAAAACTTCATCACACCTATATCATCAAACAGTTTGATCACCTCTGTGCAACCGATCCAACGATAATCCATGCTTTAGTTTAAAGTTCATAGCGAGTACTCATTTTATTTTAACTTCCACGCAAAAAGCGTAAGTTACTAGTTTCGGCCAAAACACACTTTTTTCTATGTATTAGAAAAATTTTCCAGTATTAGAAAAATTACGCCTCAAGGACTGGTTTTCAAAAATTTCAAAGGGTACCAAAATGTGTGTATTAGAAGGTTGGATTTTTAGGTATATAAACTTTTACTATTGAACATCATCTCGACCTTTGCCGAGATCAAGATCTGAAAAATTCACGTTTCAAAAACTGAACATGAAAAATTCATGTTTCAAAAATTGAAGACGAAAAATTCACATTTTAAGAATTAATTTTTCATGTTTCAAAAATTGAAGACGAAAAATTCACATTTTAAGAATTAAAGACGAAAAATTCACATTTCAAGAATTGAAGATGAAAAATTCACAATTCAAGAATTGAAGAACGAGTTACAAAAATTGAAACCCAAACATTTTGAATTCCAAAACCATCCAATCCAATTCACAACTTCTGTTTGTCGGCCTCTTTTCTACCGAAATAGCAAAGATCACAGGACTCACCTCGCGAAGGTCAACAGAACGAATCCCTGGTTAATGATCAGTTTTTGATCGAATTCCTCAGTGATACGCTCTGTCTTAAATCAAACAAATTTCGTTAGACGACTTAGTTGCAACCAGTGTTGCAAATGTAGATGTCTACACTAGATGAAGAATGTAGATTCTCCAATAGTTTTTGTCTAGCTAAGAAACTTTCTTCACGAAGATCGATTCTACATGAAGATAGAAAATCTAATCTACACAAAGATTATTTCTACATAAAGATTCTGTCTACATAAAGATTCGATGTAGATGTCTACAATTCTACATTTTTTCCAGGTCTACATCAGAGAAGAATGTAGAATTGTAGACATCTACATCGAATTTTTATGTAGAAAGAATCTTTATGTAGAAATATTCTTTGTCTAGATTAGATTTTCTATCTTCATATAGAATCGATCTTTATGAAGAAATTTCTGTCTCAGAATTTATCTGATCCAGACAAATGGCCAGAATGCAACACTGGTTGCAACTTACAGGATAGCAAAGCTTTACCAACTATGACAAAAACGGTAAGTTAAACACATCACCGGGTTACATTAAATGCCGTGATGCATCTATCATTAAGGGTGTGCGACCCATCTGGAAGCGCCTCTATAAAGATCAATATGAGTCAACGAATTTCAGTACTACTGGCCTTTACGTCCCCTCCAAACCGACAAGAACAAGCTGTAACACCGTAAGGCATGGCTTGGAGTTATGAATAGAGAGCTCACGATCAGGATTTATTGGGCAAAGATCTTGTTATGATCTTGTTATGACTCTCAGCGGCCCGGAAGTATTTATTGTGAAAGAATTGGAAGAATTCACGAAATACAAAGTAAAATAAGAGCTGGAAAAGAAATGAATTAAAAAACAAGAAATTACGGACGGACGGATTGATAGTAATGTTTTTTTTGGACAGTCCACCCTCAACCCCCTCTTGTAATTCCTAAAAAGTTCAAAGCCCTTTTTATAGAGGATAAGCCTGGCTCGATAAAAATTATGTAAAAAACTCGAACGCGCCATTGAAATTCATTCATGTCCAGATTATTAAAAAAAGAAAAATCCCCTTACGTTAACAATACTACCAATCACCCCTCACCCAATCACCCAAACCCTTCTCTTGGCGTAAATGAGGCGCAACTCCCAGATAGATTTGATTATGCTCTTCTCGCCTACCCAACCTCTATTCCCTCACACTCCAACCCCTTCTCCCTCACACCTCAACCCCTACCTCCTCACACCCAATTTCGAATCCTACCCCCTCAAACTCCAATTTCAACCCATAACCCTCACCCAATCACCCACAAGACTAATCCCCATCCCTTACGCTGAAAAAAGATTGACCTTCCTCCCATTAATAAAATTAATAAGTTGCAAAAGTGATCTTCCTACGAACCCAAGAAAACATTTTTTTTTCACCGACCTTATAAATCCAGGAGATTTGAGTGGAAGAGTTGAACATACACGTCTGCTGCTATGATTACTGCTCAATGTGACATAATGGAAAATAATCAAAACAAGAATTATTAACATTATTAAGATTCGAACACCTATGAAGATGAGAACAACAGACAATTGATAGGTTATAAAGAAGGGTTTTAAGGAGATGTTACGTGAGGTACATTCAAAATATGTTGCCTTACCTTGCAGTCTTGGATTTTGACCAAAACATTGTACTCCAGGAGTTCGCGTTTGAGTCCGGGACATTTATCA